TGCATAAAGTAACAATTGATGTGGATATTCATTTTTTTCATGACCGAGTTAAAGTTTCGAGTTCATATCCGAATGTGACATGGATCCAAGATTTTACTCCACCCTTCCTAACTTGTCCACCAACCTTACCACGCCACCAAAACCTTGAACCATAACTCTTTTTTATTCATGTGTGATATTTAACACCAGAAGAATAAAATATTAAACTCTTGTCTTAATTAAACACTTGGCTCGAGTGACAAACGAGCTCATACTAAAAAACAAAAATTTGAGAAATAACAAATTCAATTGCTGCTAGAATACCATTTCTATGAAAACTAAAGTGCAAAAACATAAAAAAAAAATATTAAACTCCCGTCTTCGTCTTCTTCGGACCCTAAATTCATCACTCCCACTCATAAGACACATCTTCCTCTATTTTATTAGGAAAAAAAGCACACAATCTAATCAATAAGAAAAAAAGAAAATAAAAGTATAATAAAAAAAGAGATTGATTTTTAAAACATCCTCATATGCTTTATTAAGCTTAAATTTATACTAGTTGGATTTTTATATTGCCAAAACATATATTATGATTTTCTTAAATTTTTTAATATAGTAAAACATATTTTAAAAGTTTGATTATCAACTATATTTTGTTTATTCTCTTCTTAAAAACATGTTTTAAAAACTTGAGTTACGGAACTTTTTTTCCTTCTAATTTCTAAAACAATTTTAAAAAATTACCAATTTTTATTCTCTATTTTTAATCTATTTTCTAGAACAAATTTATAAAATCGACTTTAAAAATTAAAAGCTAGAAGTGATTAAACATGTCTTTGATTTGTCTTAATTGGCATAATCTTCTTTTATTTAAGTTTGTTTAATGTGTATTTTATAAAAATCGGTATTAGTTTGACCATTTTCTCAATTGTTCTTTTAAAATTTTTATTTTTCAAATGAATTTTTTTATGTTATATTATATTTACGGTGTTAATCATTTTAGAAATTTATGATAAAACAGTATGTGTGACATGACATTTTTTTTTGGTTTAGTAATTTAATGATTAAAATTTTATAGAATTTGATTAAAAAACAATGAATACAAAGGCAAAATAATATAGAAAAAAAATACTATTAATAAACTTTTCTAACATATGAAACAAGTGAAACTTAATGATTATACTCAATTTTTTATTGGATCTCATCCTAAATGCAATACTGAACAAACACTTATATTTTCACTTTTCCCGTAAATTAAAAAAAAAATTAAAAATACACAATGTATTTATAAATAAAAATATCCTCCTCCTAAAAGTATAAGAGCCATGCCTTTAGTTTAATTCCAAAAGAATGAAAACATAATGATTGGACAAATTGGATGGCTTTGAATGGAAATGATAATGTGGTTGTTGAAGATGTTATAAGTATTGGTAAGATCATTGGTGTTTCTTTTAATGAAATTAATTTTAGTTTGTTTAATGAAGGGCGTGTTCAAAAGTTCTATCGTCGGGGGTGGGAGACAAAGAGGGTGGGGAGGAGGAGTAGAGTATTGTTTTCTCTGAGGTCAGGTAGGGGAATGGGGGTGTGTCATGAAGATTGTAGCGTGGAATGTTAGGGGGTTGGGAGGGGTGGCAAAAAGAAAGGAAGTGAAAAATTTGGTAGTGGAGAAACGACCGTCTATTTTATGTCTCCAAGAAATTAAGTTAGAAGTGGTGGAGGATTTCTTTTGTGCTTCTTTGTAGGAAGTCTCATCACATTATTTCTTTTTTAGACCTTTTGTTGGGGCATCAGGTGGTTTGTTGACAATTTGAGACAATTTAAAGGTGGAGGTGTGGACGTCGTGTAGTTTGGACCATGTGTTGTTGATTCATGGAAGGTTCCTGTCTAATAGTGAGGAATTTCTGGTTTTTAATGTGTATGCGCCGTGTGATAATGATGCTAAATAATTGTTATGGTTTCATCTGTCAAAAGGGGTGCAATAGTGGGTGGGTAAAAATGTGTTTGTGTTGATTTTAATGTGATTCGTAGGGAGGAAGAGAGGAGAGTGGCGGGGTTGGTATCAAGTTCTTTGGATTCTATTTCTTTTAATAGTTTCATTGAGGATAATTTTCTGGTGGACCAGCCGTTGCATGGCCGTGAGTTCACGTGATTTAAGGGCGATGGTAGAATGATGAGTCGGTTAGATAGATTCTTGCTTTCGGAGGAGTGGGTTCAGAAGTGGCCTAATTGTTTGCAAGATGCAACATTTGCATGGTATTTCATATCATTATCTAATTATGCTATTAGTGGATGAAGTCAAATGGGGTCCTAAGCCTTCTCCTATGTTGAAATGTTGGACGAAGATTCCTGGTTACTATAAATTTGTATCAGATAAATGGAAGTCTATTCAGGTTCAGGGGTGGGGAGGTTTTGTGGTGAAAGAAAAGTTGAAGGCTGTAAAAAGTGCTCTTAAGGAGTGGCATCTTACTCATGTTCATAATCTTCCAAGGAGGATGGATTCTATTACGATTTGTATTTTTGATCTTGATAGGAAATGCGAGGATTCTATTTTATCTGAGGCTGAACAGGTGAAATTGAAGGGGCTTACTTATGATTTACATCCCCTTTCTAGAATTCATTCTAGTATTTTGTGGCAGTAGTTGAGGCTTTCTTGGATTCGAGAAGGGGATGCTAACTCGAAATATTTTCATGCTATCATGTCTAGTCGGCGACGGGGTAATTTTATTTCTTATATTCTTGTTAATGAGGCAGTTGTTGAAGGGGTGTAAGAGGTTTGTGAGGTGGTCTTTTTGCATTTTGCAATGCAGTTTAAAGCGTCTCGGGTGAATAGACCAGGGCTGGAGAATCTTGATGTTAGTTCCATATCCTTTGAGCAAGGAGGAAATTTAACCAGACCATTTTCTAAGGTGGAAGTCAAGGAAGCAATCTGGAGTTGTGATAACTTCAAAAGTCTGGGGCCAGATGGTATTCGTATGGGTTTCTTTAAAGATTTTTGGCATGATGCTAAGGAGGATATAATGAGATTTATTTTAGATTTCCACAGAAATAGGCATTTATCGAAGGGAATCAATAGCACTTTCATTGCTCTCATTCCTAAGGTGGAGTGTCCTATAAGATTGAATGAGTTTCATCATATATCTCTTCTTGGTTGCTTATATAAAATTATGGCCAAGTTATTGGATAATTGACTGCGGTTGGTGACGGGAAGTGTTATCTCAAAATGTCAGTAAGCTTTTGTTAAGGATAGACAAATTTTAGATGGTTCTTGATTGCTAACGAGGTGGTGGACGGGGCCCGTAAGTTGAAAAAAGAGTTGATGTTATTCAAAGTGGATTTTGAAAATATTAAGTACATTGAAATACTACCCATTTAGACAATCAAATAGATTAGAGTCCATAACATCAAATATTTATCCAAGGATGAACTTTAGGCCGGAAAACAAATTTGGCAAGAAATATAACAGAGGCAACCACATGAGTAAGCTTAAATTGTAGACACTCACAGTCAAGCAGGCTTAAATCAGCAAGATAGTTACACAAATATATAAACTGCAATTGTAGACACTTCCAATTTGCAAAAACAACATTTCAGATATATAAACTTCAAAAACAATATTTCAACTTACCTTTCGATTCTCAAAAACAATCATAACAAACTTCTTGAAGTGAAGTAACCTCATTCCAGCAAGGTTTAGATAATTAAATTTAAGATATGGAACAAAAATCCTTACCTTAAAAGTGTGATGACATTAGAGTTTCCCATTTTATAATTTTGGGACTTGAGTATGTGAGCTTCCATCTCTAAAACCTAGATTCACAATAATAAATATGAGAATCAAAGAAACAAAGAACAAAACTATAGAAAATTTGATACAAAAGTATGATATTTAATTTACTTCATGCAGTTCACAGGTAGTAATTTGACAGACATCTAGCACTTTTGGTGAATTGACTTCTTCATACCTGTTGCATATTTAAAAGTGATGAAATTTTAATACTTAAGAAAAACAAGATAACATTGATAATTTTGATGAAAAAAAAGAAAAAAAATTAAAAGTTGTTGAGATCTTATGACACAATGAGCATAGTAAAAATATCAAGCAACTGAAGCTTGGATCTATTGAGAGATTAACAAAACACATCAATATACCCTTTTTATTCAAAGTGGATTTTGAAAAGGCATATGATTTTATGGATTGGGGTTATCTGCATGCCGTTATGGCTAAAATGTGAAGGAAGTGGATGAAAGAATGCATTAGATCGGCTTCAACATTCTTGTTAGTTAACGGTAGTCCCACAGAGGAGTTACGCTTTGAGCGGGGGTTGCGTCAAGGTGATTCACTATCTCATTTTCTTTTCTTTTTGGGGGCAAAATGGTTGCATGTTTTAATGGCAGCGATGGAAAATGCCAATCTATTTATGGGATATACTATAGGTAGGGAGGTTACGAAAGTTGTTTCTCATCTTCAGTTTGTAGATGACACCTTGCTTATGGGGATCACGAGGGGCTAATGTCAGAGCATTGAGGGTTATTCTTGTGCTGTTTGAAGCTATGTCGGGATTGAAAGTTAATTTTCACAAAATTATGCAAATTCTGCTAGAATCTGACCCAATGTCAAATTGGAGGAAATTTTATTTTATTGAGAGGCTAGTTTTTTTTTAAAAGAGAGTAAAATGCATTTAACCCTTTTATTATTAATCTATTTTAATTTCTTAAAAAAATAATAAAAAAACATAGAAAATTGACCCGGACATACACACTAAGCTAAATTTAAAATCTACCTATTTGAGAACACATCACTATCTTTTCTCTCTATTATTTTAGATTGATCATGAAATTTGACACCCCTCAAATTTATGTTCAACAACAATCACTATAATCGAATCATAGTAACATTATAATTCATCTAAAAATTTAAACTGTAAATTGTGTCAAAATTACAATTCTTCGTTAATGATTATGTCAAACTCAATATCAATTTCAACACATACAAAAAAATTAGAGAGAAAATAATAAAATTAATCATTTGAGCATGAAACTCTACCAAAACCTAAATGATCAATTTGATACAACTCATGCCAAACCTTTTCAGCTTCAAATCCAACATTAACATGAGTACTATCCATTGGTGATGTTGGCCACCCAACATTCAAACCATCTTCATTTTTCTCTTCCAACACAACATCATCAACATCTTTATGCCCCCTTTTGCAGTTCTTCTTATGACAACATCTCTTCTTCTTCTTATTCTTACTCCCTAATCCCAAACATTTTCTTCCCATAACCCAAGGCGCCTTTATAAAAGCCAAAGCAAAACAATGTAACACAACACAAGGACAACAACATAGTGCAACACAATCAGCTACTAATCCTGTTGTGCATGATTTGCAATACTTGCCAGAACACTCTATCGAATCAACTTCATCATCGTCCTTAGTGTTAAATCTCTTGTTGGTGGATTTATTTCCTTTACTACGACTCTTATGTCTTGTAGTTTTGCTATTTGAAATTTTGTTTGGATTCTCATCCATCCGCCTTGCGTCTTCTTTATGTTTCTGCAAATTTGCAAACGAGAATATTTAAAATAAAAGTGTAAAATTACTTACCTTAAAAAATTGCGTAAAATTGATTTATTATTATTATTTTCTTAATTTTATAGTCAAACATGCTAAATGACTTAGCATAAAAATATTACATGATTGTTATACAATGAATTTAAACTAATATATAGTAAATTAGACTAAAAATACACAAAACATAAAATTTAATAGTTGGTATTAGATTTTAACAATTAAAATTATCTATCTTTATATTTTACTAAACAAAAAAAATCTTTCTACAAATTTTTATTTTTGGAATGATTAAATGTAACTTATCTATTTAGTATAATAATATATAAATAAATATACACAGAGAAAAAATACTTAAAAATTAAAAAAAAAAATTAATTAAGTTGATGAGATATTAACTCACACTCAAAAAATCTGTTTTTACTCTCTTAAATTTCCGAAACTCAATTCATCTAAAACTTTTATTTATTAAAAAAAGAAGTAAATGTGTTATTTGACCAACTATATTATAATGTAGGTTTTCTTTGATATAATGGGTATAATTATAATTTCTATTTTTTCTTTTTTTTTTACTAAAACTGTTAAAAATTTATATATATATATATATATATATATATATATATATATATATATATATATATATATATATATATATATTAATTTATTGAAATGATTGATAAACTTATAACGAAATCAAAACTAAAAATATAATACCACAATAATAATGTTAAAGAAAACTACACATGTATTTAATTACAAAGCAAAAATAGTCTTTCTTATTAAAAAAAAAGACAAAAACTCAGTAAAAAAAATGGTGTGTGACATGTATATATTAAAAGACGGGTTTAAAATTTTGATTTGTTTCATAAAAAATACGAATAAAATAGATATATCCAATGGACAGATCTCATTTTATTATTTTTAATTAGAATTCAATGATAAAATAGACTAGAATCTCATGAATGCTGATAAATATTTTATAAATCATAATAATCATGATTTAATCATATTAAATTTTAATTATATGTATTATTTAATTTACACGTCTTCAAAAACACTTAGAATAAAAAATAAATGTTTTTTATAATCTAACGCTATTTATAATTTCTTTTTTAAAATAATTAAAATTTTGTTTTTAACTCATTTAGAGAAAATATTTTCATAATAAATTTTTAATTTGCAAAAACATTTAAAGAAATATTTTTGATGAACACTCTAATATCTTTAAATTTTATTGGATATCGGTATCATAATTCAATTAAATAATAGTAATAGTATTCAATATAAACCCACTTTCCTAATTTTAATTACTAAAAGATCTCGGCAAAAATCTACAATATTGTGCATATTCATCAAACTCATAAACATTTAGGATCTTAAATTAAATATCAATTTTTGTTGATTTTTTTTACAATATTTTTTTGGATATATGATTCTTAAAGAATAAATTTAAGTGCCTATATAAACATCACACCATTATTTTACTATTCAAAAACGTGTTTATGTTTGTTTTTATTTTCTTCCTAATTTGACTCGTTTAAGTATTTATTAAAATGAATATTTTTTAAATTATTTTTGAAAAATGAAAATGAAAATGTTCACTGTTTCCAAAAAAATATATAGTCGTTCGTGAATCGAGAAGCAAAAATCTAACTAATTCATAAAACTCATCTAAAGTCTCTATATATTAGGGGCATGTTTGGATATCCAATATTGCAAAACGTGATTTAAAACAAACAACTTGTTGATGATGACAAACACAGAGAAAGGTTAAGATTTTGTTAGTCTTAATAGCTTACAAACATGGTATTAATTAGATTCAACATAAAAAATTGTAAATTTCTTAAAGACAGAAGAATCACAATCAAAAGTAATCAGATGAAAAATTTACCTGATAGTTTTGGATGCGATCTTTTTTAACTTACTCAAATATGATTACGAATACAAGTCTAACTTTTATAAAGTTTTGTCGCACTTCTGAGAAATTTTGCCCAATTTGATATTAGCTTTTACAGTTGCAATCGAATATTCTGAAATAACCTGATAACAAAACATAAATGATAAATATATACAAATTAATGATCTACAAATGGAATGAACAAACAAAATCACACTTAAAAATAATTGAATGATAAACTAACCTGATAGTTTTGGACACAATTTCAATCTCTTTTAGTTTAGTTTACAAGTGATGAGTATATTAAGAGTAATGATATAAAAAGTGGTGATCTAAAATGTGATGAACAAACAAAACAAAGTTTATGAATGAGAATGGGTTTCCAATTGCTTCAATTCAAAAAACGATGTGGCAAAAGAGAACGTTAACTTACCTCATTCTTATCGTTAATGAACAAACCTACCTTTATTTATTTATTTATTTATTTATTTCCACTATGATATATTAAAGTTTAATGATTGTTCATTTGTTGAGATATAATTAAATGTATATATAATTTTTAAATCGAATAATGAATAACAATTAAACCTAAATTTTATTCATTCAATTGAACTAAACTAGTAGTTTACAAAAATTCACTTTTCAATCTTTTAATTTAATAAATATGAAAGGCTAAAATAATCATTCATGTCAAGTTGAAATTGAATGGAATTGGAAAGGCAGAGAAAAAGTAAAATCCCATGCATGAATTGCCAAATTCTTGAAACATCACACACAAGTCAGAAACTATTTTTACTTTGAGTTAGGAATCTCAGTGGCAATGTTAAAGTGCTGCCCTACATATATATGGTATGTACATGGTACAAAAAATAAAGCAAGTGCTTTTAGAAAAAATATTTGATAAAATAAAAATAATAATTAAAGAAAATTTATATTCTAAAAAATTACTTGGAATATGTGAGATTTTGTAGTTTAACTTTATAATTGGGATGCTCCACATGCTTTCTTCAAGGACAAAGATAAATAATAAAAAAATTTTCTTGTTATTTACTCAAATAGTAAATTAATGTTAGGGCTCGTTTCTCTAAGAGAGATCTTCCAATAAAATTGAAAATTAAAATTGTGGAGAAAGAGAAAACAGATCTACAATTGATGCTCCATACTTTAGTCAAACTTATATTCAAACCCAAAATTTGATTTTAGTTTTTATAAGCAAAAAATCTTATTGGATAATTTGTATGCATCATGTTATTGCATATACTCTTTTTTGAAGTTGTATGCAAATTAAAGGTGCTAATTAAGTTAGTCTTAAACTTTCACTTCTACCATGTTAAAGTAAACTTTGGGATTGATCCATTGCTCTAAATTAATGATTCAATCAAACCAAAAAAACATGAAAGTAAAAACTTTGCTAAGGTTGAAACATAGTAATAATTTAGCTACACATGTAAAAATCCATTAAAGAAGATCCAAAATGTAAAATAAGATCCACTTTCAAAGTTCAACAAGAACAACAATATCTCATAATTTCATAAACATGACTTACATGCATTATATTCATATTGTCAATTTGAAGCTCAAATTATGATGCAGAAACAAACTAAATAGAGAGGTAGTTTAGTTGGTTACCTGAGAGCAAAAGTGAAGCTTTTAAGTTAAGCTCCAAAGAATTTGTTTTTGAATATAAGATCCATCTCTTAATCTCTTTGTGTTGTTTTGTTAATGGCATTGCAAATACAAACTTGATCTCATATATAAGAAAAAACCATTTGAGGAATCTCTCTCTCTCTCTCTGCATGCTTTATAGTATTTGTAAAACTATTAATTAAAAACCAAACCATTATATTATAATAAGCATAAGAGCTCAGGGGGAAGTATATTATATTAATTTGGATTCCGCTACAATTTTTTTTTTTCAATTAGAGATGGTCAACCAAAGGTGGTAGTTGAATTCAGATCTTACACTATGAAATTTTAATTCAATTTGTTAAGAAATGTGGTTGTGCTATAAAATCGTCTTATAGAAGAAAGATTGAGCTATAAAATCGGTTTATAGGAGAAAGATTACTCCTATTTATAAAGATATGTTTGGATTATATATTATAATATGAGAGACTCTTAACACATTCTTTCACGTCTATTATTGAACATTTGAAGCGTGAAAATAAATATTAAGTTAGTTTGATAGCAGAAATTTGATAGCAAGTGACTCGTTGGAATTTAAATAAATTTTTTGATATGATGCATGTTAACAAATATGGTTGGGGTTAATTCAATCATACAAAACCAATTTGTAGGATGATGATTGTCCACACTTATAAGAACATGTTAATGCCATATATTTTCTTATATGAGACACCTAACACAATTTTTATATTTGGAAATATGCATGTGTGGATTTGAAAGAAATTTCTTCAGTGGTGAGATTGGAGATAAGAGGTTTTATCGTGGGATAGGTAGTCCTCAAAACTGCTTTAATTAAAGTGGTCAAACATGAGAATATGTGTTTCGAGAATCAACAAGCATTCATTCCAATTGTCTTTGATGCTTTCAGTTTCATAGCACCAGCAACAAATCTTTTTACAGAGAATAAAAAAATTTATACATAACAATATTGTATCTTTTAGGTCAATGAATTCGTTTTTAAAAGAATTGATTTTGTTACTAAAAAAAAGTAATAACGCAACTTATTATCTATTTAATTTATATTTTTGTATAAATTTTATTATCTATGAAATATAACCAATATGAATTTCGTCCCATTTGTTTGATCGAAGGCGTTTACCATATCATCTCAAAGATGTTAGCTGGCAAATTGAAGTAGGTAATTGAGAAACCCGTTTTAGCCAAACAAACCACATTCATTCAAAATATGAAATTTTGGTATTCATATCACATATGTCTTAAGAAATATCGAGACATTGATTTCTGGACAATCAACACAATGAACAAGTAAAACAATAAAACAATGCAAAACGATAAAGGAACACGCAAAATTGTTAGCTCAGTTCGGTGTACAATAACACCTATTATGGGGACTACAAGCCAGGAAGGAAATCCACTA